TTTTTTTTTTTTTTTTTTTTTTTTTTTTTTTGGGTCCGCGTTCTGCCGAACGCGTCGAGAGGGGGTGCCGAACGTTCGGGCGTTCGGGTTCGGGCGTTCGGCCCGTCCCGAACGCCAGCAACCCTGTAGATATATATATACTGCGTTACGGAGCGTACCTGTACGGGGCGTTTCCGTACGGGTCGTACAAGTTTTTTTTGTACGCGGACCTGTACGTGGACTTGTACGTACGTACAAGTCCCCGTACAAGTTTTTTTTTTTGGGGGGGGGGGGGCTTGCCGAGCAGCACAGGATGCCCCAGGGTGGTTTTTCGTTAGGCCTGGGTTTGCCTGGGCAGGGGGCTTGTGGGAGGTCCAGCACACGTGCACACACAAACTTAGTAGCAAGCGGGAAACTCAGCAAGGCATTCAGTCTATGGGCAAAACTCAGAAATCAGCTATGTGTTTCAGTCATACTTGCGGCGCATCACGTGCGTGCAGCTTCCCCACGTGCGCCGCAGCGCACATGCCCACACATGCGTGTGCAAGTGATGTGGCGCATTTAGAAATTAATAATAATAAAAATTCAGAAAGGGTAGGTCGTGGTACCCATAAGTGTCCCTCCCTTTTAAAAAGGGTAAGTACACAGAAAGAGAATATTTTGGGGCCTCGTCGTACTGCTCATTGGTTTGATTCTCCTTTCCAAAAAGTACCCTGCAAGCAATTACCAGGGTTTCCATAACCTTTGGAAGGATGTGCATTGCACTGCTGGAAGACCACGAGTAGGCCAGCAATATATCCCGGATTCGGATTCAAGTCTGTGTTCCAAGAGTTATGGGTTAGAAACTTACCACAAATACTCAAGTAGTTGTCTGGTCTTTTCTTTTTTACCTTTTCTTACGTCGCAGTGGCCCTAAGGGCCTAGCTCCACTCATCAGCACTTGCAGAAAAGAAAAACGGATGGCTTGTATGGTTTCAGTTTCTAGGAGAAGATTCATTCTAGTTTTGCACATACAGTAGCTGTCTCGTTTTTTTGTTTTTCCTTTTCTTACTTGCGTGCAGTGGCCCTAAGGGCCTGGCTCCACTCATCAGCACTTGCAGAAAAGAAAAACGTATGGTATGGATCCAGTTTCTAGGAGAGGATTCATTCTAGTTTTGCACATTTGGTGAGTAGTGGAGTGAAGCCCTCAAAATCACATGCCGAGTTAGTAAGTCAGTAACCCATAACTGCTGAAACACAGACCTGAAATAGAAGCTACACCATATGTAGCTGGCCTACTCCCTCCTTACCATGAGTCCAGTGACGACCATTCCAATGACCACCCCGTTCCTGCCGAAGGGACCCTTGCCAATATTTGGCAGGGACCTTTTGAAGTACTGGCAGGGGTTATCTGAATAATGTGAAAGTAGGAGATGCCAAAAAAAAAAAAAAAAAAAGGTTGCCCGTACATGCTCTAGACTCAGACTGGTTGCACGGCGGGGTTTGCCCGTACATGCTCTAGACTCAGACTGGTTGGACGCCTAGACCTAGCCTACAACCACTGGTCTCTAAAAATGCCACTTTTGTCTTCTTCTGCTCGGCCTCCAGTACCTGCACATCTACCCCTTCAAGGTGCGGTACCGGCCTACCCGCTACTAGAGTGTTTTTCCCGCTGCAATCCCTCAATGTCATGGCGACAGGTAAGTACCGGCCCTGAGGGCCCAATGAACGAGCAAGTGCCCTTACGGGCCACACACACTCAAGCCATCTAGCACTCAGACAGGCACGGCCACACACACTCTCAAGCCAATCAGCACTCAGACAGGCACGGCCACACACACTCAAGGCAACCAGCACTCAGACAGACATGCAGTCCAGCAAACGTGCACACACACAGACTTAGTAGCAAGCGGGAAACTCAGCAAGGCATTCAGTCTATGGGCAAAACTCATAAATCAGCTGTGTGTTTCGGTCCATGTTTGGACGGATCATCACACTAAGGAGGCAGGCCCTCTATCTGCCTCGCATGTCAGCAGCAGGTAGAGGGCCTGCCACAGCAGCTCTCCGCACCCAACGCAGCTCGTTAAAACAAAAAAAACAAAAAACGGCGGAGAGAGAAAGCTCTCCTTGACATGGGTTTTCAGTACAAAGAACCTCCATTGGTGTATTATTGGTGCAATGCTGCTCTGTGGACACGGTGTGACTATCTGGCTTTCAATGTGATGGTGTAATATGGAATTGTCATCTCGCTGTTGC